TTGTGTCCGTGTTAAAGACAGTTGTAGGAGTGGAAAGAGAGTGATATTTATGTTCACTTCTTTTCATTAGCATCACGTGATGTCACCAATCCTGAAACGAATTTGTAAATCAGTGTGTAGGTTTGATAAGAAAAATTCCGGCGATGAAATATTTTATAGAAAAGAATTACGAATCAGAAATTATCTTGAAAAACTCTGCGTTCTTTTTTTTTTTTTTTCTTCTTCTCATAAGCGTTTAGGACGACAAAATTGGACCAATCAGAGGTCAATCTCCGAAACAAACGAAATAATAGGCACAAAAGTGACATTGAGAACATATTGTTTTGCAACTTCACTGAACCTACGTAGAAACTATAAAGAAACCGTTTATTAGCCTCTGGGGTACGCTTTCTTGCAACATAAACGTTAATCAAATGTCTGCTTCTGTACAGTTTTTTTTTTTTTTTTGCCACGTGCTGAGTCTACAATTATTGAGGAATATATGCCAAATTCACAACTCTTCGAAAATCACTGAAGCAATAGATTTGGGAAAACAAATTACAGAAACATCAGAGAGGAATATCACTGATTTTTTCATCAGGAAGCAGTTTCATATTCAAAAATCTCAGGCCCATACCCAACATTCAGCAGAGACCATGCCAACAATAGGCAGTAAACTAAGATGATAATTTAACACATAAATAGTGGCAGGAATGTATTAAACACAAGGCTATTTTTGCTTTCAAAGCTGTAAGATGATTCTATATATCATTTGTAAACCATATTATATATATATATATATATATATATATATATATATATATATATATATATATATTCGTCGTGCATTAGAGAAATGAAAAAAAGAGACAAAGTGACATATCGGACAAACTATATATATATATATATATATATATATATTTACGTACCACCCTCTTTTCTTGTTATGGTAGAAGTGGGCGGCACAGTAATATACAATATCACGAATTCTTTTACCAATGGTCATCTCCTGATTGATCAAACGCGGCCGAGCTAAATGGAATCAATCAATGAACAAACACGGTAGGTGACAAGCAGAAGACAAAGATATAGCGATAAGAAATAAACATTTTATTACTAACATATACAAATGGAAATTAAATATATTGGTGTATATTAAAAGATGAAAGACAGGGTAAAACTAAACAATTAGACAAGAATAAATATTAAGGGAGAAAACAATGAGAAAAGGGAACTTATCATTTCAGAAAGGTAAAATTATATTGACAAACGGCATTGTGTCAAACTTGCATGAAATTACAAATGACAAAAAGGCAAAATGAGGAAAGATAAAACAGACAATAAAAACAAAGGACTCATGTGTTATTTGAAAAAAAAAGTCTTTCTTTTTCTCTTCAATTTCTTTTAATGTCTTTTATATTTTTCTCTTTTATTTTCTGTTTGTCTTTAACTTTTATTTTTATTCTTTTCTCTTCTTCTTGCTGGATAGAAGGTTTATTTGTAAAATAGATTTCTTTTTGGTTTCCTTTCTTTCTCGACTTGTCCAGGGGTTGAGTGAAGAATAAGTTGAATCATTCTTTTCTTTTGCTCTCAGAATAAGTTGAATCTTTCTATTCCTTTGCTCTCATCATAAGTTGAATCATTCTTTTCCTTTGCTCTCATCATAAGTTGAATCTTTCTTTTCCTTTGATCTCAGAATAAGTTGAGTCTTTCTTTTTCTTGTCTCCCAGGATAATGTATCTTTCTTTGTTCCATGGTATCTGCTTCTTTTAGGATGCGGGAGTTTGATGTTTTTGAATCAAGATTTTACTGAATCTTTTCAGGTCAGAAAACATAAAAAATCAATTCCACACATCTAAATTTATAGCAGATCATAGCAAGTTTAGCTGGACGCCCATTCAGTTTGAAGTCTGAAGAGGATCTGGCTTAATGGCAGTCTTTATTTTCATGAATTGATTTTGGCATGTGACACATGACTTCAAAATATGAGTTTTTACATGTACGCGCGAAAACAGGTTACAGGCTCTTTTCATTTCTCTGTCCTTTCTCAGAGAGTTCAAGGTTGCTTTAAAGTTTGGATAGTGCCCGGTCAAATCACCAGGCTATTACGTGAACAAGAAGGAGAAAGGGTATTTTACATAGGATATATAATCTTTGACCAAGAACTGTTAATTTCACTTTATTTCTTTTTCATTTCACGCTTTCTGAAAGTAATGGCTCCTCATTTAGAGTACTTCTAAAATATAAACTTTAGTGTTGATTTTAGAATAAAATGAGATGATTTTTCACACTGTGAAATGAACAAAGTCCGCCAATTATAATTTAAGACATTTTATTATGCAATGCATTAAGTCTGAGAATTATTTTAATATGTTTGTGTTTATACGTTATTTTCATAGATGCAAATATTTAATTAAATGCTCTTTTTATGATAAACAATACTAACAACATTTACCCGTCTGAATGTTCTAGAAATCTCAAAGAAAATATGTGTCCTCTGACAGGAATCGAACCTGCATCCAAGACGGAATCTTTATATAGCCAGACGTGCGATATCATTTAGCTACAGAAGAAGATTCCAGTAAGCAAGTTTAAATTACTGTTTTTAAACAACAAACTTCGCATGATTTCTCTCAAACGCTCGAATCTGCTCGAAGCGTAACTTAACGTAAACAAATGATATCATATATTAAAAAATGGACTAAGACCAACAATTATTTTAACATATTTCAGGTTGCGTGTGGGATAATGGTTCGATGGCTGTCGGAGGACACACATTCTCTTTGAGATTTCTCGGATATTAAGGCAGGTAAATAATGTTAAAGCTGTTTATTATAAACAAAAGCCTAACATATATATATATATATATATATATATATATATATACACACACACACACACACACACACACACACACATATATATATATATATATATATATATTGAGACATTTTATGTTTATACATTCTTTTATAGATACAAATTTTTAAGTAAATGCTCTGTATCTTGTATCTATAAAAAGAATGTATAAACATAAAATGTCTTAAAATAATTGTCGGACTTTCATTTCATTAAATATATATATATATATATATATATATATATATATATATATATATATATATATTTTTGTTTATATTTATATATAAAATGTATTTCAGCAGCAGAGGTCCTTTCAAACATGTTTAGTTAAATAATATAGACAAGTTCTGTCTATCAACTGAATAGACAGAACTTCTCGATATTATTTAACTCGAGGTGTTTTCATATATATATATATGCACACACACACACACACACACACACACACATTTATATATATATATATATATATATATATAGTTTTAAGGTGTGCTCTATTTATGGAATAAAATGCTCAATATCAGAGATAGAGCGTATGTAAATATAAATAAAAAAGATGAACATCATCAAGTCGCCGCAGCCTGTCGCTTCTGAGAGGCTGCGGCCTGACGATTGCGTCTAGCATGAAACAGCCTGTCGCCTCTGAGTATTGACTTCAATTTTCAGTAATATATATATATATATATATATATATGAAAAATATAGTTTAATGGTTTACTGTGTTTATGAGTTAAAATGCGCACAGGGATAGTGTATATATATATATATATATATATATATATATATATATATATACTGTCTATATATATTAAACAACTTTCAAACTGTAATTTAGCATAAATAAAATAAACTTTACCAATTATACGAGATTAAATTGCTATTAAATCATTTAATTCAAACTGTAATATTAGCCGTGACTTCATTATTTACATTATTCGGACTATTGTCCTCATCTTTGTCGCCATATTTATTACAACGTTTCGGTGGTTGTACGCTCTGGCCTTCTTCAGGTGGTTGGAATGTCGAACTTAACCCTTTATTTCGCTCTCTGGGGCAGACTGTTCTAGTTCCACGTGCCATGTTTAATGGATGTCAGTTATAAGTTATACCCTGTTAATTTCTCTCTGAAAGTTCTCTACTGCCTTAACCGGGTATTGAACTCACACTCTTTGGGTCCTGTCACTGGATATAACCAACGCCCTTATCCACTGTGCCATGTGTCCTTGATATTGCCGTAGCTAGTTTCTATTTATTTCCTCATTTTAGTTCGTTTTTCTTCGTCTCTTCTTCGAAACTAAATTCAGCCCGTGACGTGATGTTCAATAATGATGCATAAAGATTGTCTCAATTTATCTACATGTTTCTTTCGATTTCAAGCTGATGTAAAATTGTTTCCCGGATCGATAACAGTTTGTGGTTGTTTTAGTAGAATTCTCTGTGATTCCTTCGATTTTCATTTATTGTTGGTGTTAGCAAAATCGAGATGAAACGAAACATTAGTAAATTGGACGGTATAAAAGCAATGGACAAATATGGCGTCTTTGAACAGATGCCAAAAGCCATTAGCGCTAAAACTTCTCCAATTTTCCGTGTATGTTATCCTTGCTTTGAATAATGAGACAAAGGTTTTCGCGTGTGTTTAAATTAGGACAAAGTTCGTGATTGTTTTATGACAAACAGTAGAGACGAACGGTTTACATTTCATATCAACGGACAGAAAATGTGCAAGGAGAATTTATTCCGTGCTAGATGGAATCAGAAAATACACAACAAAAATATAAACATGTAAAGCACACACAGAGATATGTAGGCTAGCAGACTTTTATTAGAATAAAAAATATTACATTGCCAGAGATTTTCATCTGATATTGGAGTACTGCAAGTTCTTTATCCATACCATTCGACTAATGCAACCTTTAATAATCTGGTATGATTTTCATAGAATAACGCAAAGTATTTCCAATACAGTAGGGTGCAATATTTAATAAATATTTTACAATAATATATAACAATTGTTGTGTTGTGTTACCTACTCCAGGTAAGTAGTATGCACTCAACTGTCCCACGGGTGATAGCCGTAGCTATGTATAGTCTTTGTGACGTCATATATAAATGAGTCTCCTCAACAATGTAACAATGATATACCAATTATATGATACTTACGGCCATATTAGGTCGGAATATCGATACTCGTACGAACACCGAAGTTAAGAAACGTCGAGCCTGGTCAGTATCTAGATGGGTGACCGCTTGTGAATACCGCTTACTCTAAGACTGGATATACGGTTTGTGCTATAACCGTTCTCATTTCCAGTCAGGTCAACATATTCATATAGGCGAATATAATCTTTGGAAAGGTATAAAATTACCTACTCATCCACCAGGTAGGGGTTAAATACTAGGACTTCAGTCAGTAAATTATTTTCTCCTCTCAGAATTATTACAGTCTGAAAGATATATTCTGTCTTTAAATAACCCAGCAAAGTTTAGTAAGCCGTAAACAAACAAGACAATATAAAAGTTATCATTTGATGATTTCTTATATTATTTAATTCAACAACACAGTAAACACATAACCACACGGACGCAAACTAATTTGAAGAATAAGTAAAAAAAGCAAACTATTTGTATAGTGTATATATACATATATATATATATATATATATATATATGTGTGTGTGTGTGTTTGGGCAGCAATCCTTCTTCCATGCACGTTTCATTGAATATGAAAGTCAAGGTGCTTTGATTTAGTTTTTTATACAATTTCTCAGAAATCTCAATTTATAAAGAAATTGTATAAAATCTCAATCAAACACCTTTTCTTTCATATTCAATGAAACACACACAAACATACATATATAGACTCGTTTCGAAAAACCCTCGAATTTTTGATTTGCTAATCAAATCAATCTCAAGGGAAAAAGGTTTTTTAAAAAAAAGAGCTACAAACATGAACTTCTGCCGACAAAAAATCGCACAGATGCAGGTCTGAAGCCCAAAGAAAAAACTCCGATACGAGTAACAACTAACTAACAAAAGAGCTCAATACAACCGTAGAGCAGACCTAGATACACCTAGTGAGCCAGACAAACCTACCTAGGTTTCACCTAAACGGATCATCAGGGAAAGTTTGGCTAACGAGGCAAAGAGAAACACATATTTATAGGTGATAGCTAAAATCATACCACGTGACAAAGAAAAAAATATATATATATATATATATATATATATATATATATATATATATATATATATATATATGTAAAACACCATCACTTGATAAGACATCAGAAGTATTGAATCAAAATGGTTATTTCAATAGAGATTTTGTAACATATTTATTTTATAATTTTCGAATAAATAATTATACATATATATATATATATATATATATATATATATATATATTCATCCACAGAGAGACTGTTTCGCTGTATCGCTGCTCATCAGTGTGGTTAGACTTCCGGTTGCCTCTAGCTAGATCGAAACCCGAATTGGCGTCAGTCGGGGATTCTACTAGTAAGCCGTTGGCGCACAAGGATGAAGGTGAATTTAAGCGTATTTATTTTTAGATAAACAAACAGTGACTGAGAGAACTCGAATCGATTTACCGGAAAGTTTTGCATTATTAGCCGTAATATTCACTGTTAACAAAACCCACACTTCCTCCCCAGAGAGTTCAACCGACATACATTTTTTTCGGGAATATACATATATATATATATATATATATATATATATATATATATATATATATATATCAGACCGAATTACCCGCACCTTGTTGCGTGTTACACAATTTTTGTAAGAAAATGAGGATTGATTTTAAATCAATCATGATAATCGTGATAATTTGTGGAGAAAAATAGGTTCATTTCATTGTTACTCAATGTATCTTGGCGATGTGAGCTCCATCTTCTGGTTCTCTCCTTCTATATTTATGATAGGAGTCATTCACTTTTTCAAATTTAGATAAAAAATATCAGTTGGAGGTTTGTGCAAAGCAGCTTGATGTGACCACTTTGATATGCATTTGATGCAATACTTAATTGAATCAACTGAAGAGCAGATTTCAACATTGATATGACAGTTGAATTGTCGCAACAAATATGTATTGTAAGGCCACTGGTTATTTCTTGCTCAACTTGACGTCCATGTTGTCTAATTTTGATCTTGCCGATGTGACTTCCATCGCTTGGCTTTCTCCTTCTACAGTTTGGTAATGATTCATTAGCTTCTTTAAATTTAATTTAAATCAAAAGGAATTTTTTTCAGTTTCTGCCCCCGCTCCAATGATCCTGCTTTGATCAAAATAAAATACACTTATCCAAGTACACTAAGTAATCTAGTTTCAATATATATATATATATATATATATATATATATATATATATATATATATATATATATATTTACGACGGTTCATCGCCAAAACCTTAGGAGGAATTCGATAATAGACAAACACTACAACTTTATATATATTTATTTATATATATATATATATATATATATATATATTGTTTTCATTAAAAAGGCAGACAAGGTACTACGGTTAAGCTTTTTATTTATTTTTTCTTCTGTTCGATAAGGAGCTTTCTTTTCTGGCCAAAGGCTGTGTAAGAACTGTCCAAATGTTTTATATATCCGAGCGCTTTCGGCTATACCTTTAGCCATTATCAAGGATGGTTCAATTTTTCAGCTTAATTGAGTGTGTGCATTTTGTGTATGTCTTAGTGTGTGGTAGGGATGTTTTTGATTTCCGAATACGGTTAGCACATTGTGGCTATGTTCGTAGTTAATATTGTAAAGAGTTTGTTTTTCTTTTTTATTATTAAAGCTTCCATTATTTTTAGTCGTTTTTTACAGGTGGATGCAGTTAATATATTTGTGTTTTCTTTATATATATATATTTGTAGTATATAGTTAATAAATTTGTGTTTTCTACTAGTAAGGAGTCTGGTAAATTTGTGTGTGTGCTTAAATGAGTTTCAATGGAGCTGTGGTCAGATAGGTGTAACGTAACATGCATAAACGAAGGGTTGCTGCCTAAATATAACACACACACAACAACATATACATATATATATATATATATATATATATATATATATATATATATATATATATATATGTTGCGTATTTCATCAGCAATCCCTCTTTTATACATGTTTCATCAAAGATGACTGAGAAGGTACTGCGATTAAGATTTTTATTTAATTTTTCTTGCGTTTGTACAAGTGTTTTCTTTTCTGAACACAAAGTGTGTAAAAACTGCCCAAACGTTCTATAATTCCGGGCGCTGTCGGCTATACTTTTATCCATTTTCAAGAATGCTTTTATTTTTACTTTTTAACTGAATGTATGGGTTGTGTGTATATATCTAAATTCATAGGGATCTTTTATTTTCCTAATACAGTCAACACATTGAGGCCGTATTCTATTGACTGCTGGCTTTTTCATTTTTATTATTGGAGCATCCATTTTATTAAATATTTTTTACATTACACACACACACACACACACACACACACACACACACATATATATATATATATATATATATATATATATATATATATATATATATATAGTACGTAATAGATCCGTTGATATGTAATCCAGCTGGATCCTAGTAATATCAAATATTGAAACTGATCCACAGAGAGATCTCAATGTATTTATTATAACAGAGCATATATTTTAATAGCTAAAAGTCCAAACTTACCTCATGTGGCTATAATCTATTTCAGACCATCACTGCCCTATGCTGGTCCTCCTCAGAACTAGACTGACTCTCTCGGAATAGGGGTTTCAGTTTAGTTTAGATAGCATTCGGTGAAAATTGACGTGGCTACTTAATGGATCACCTCGTTTTGATAAGGATTTGGTGACAACGATATGGGCTGCAGTGGGAGTTTATTTATGGCCAAATCCTTTAATTGTATGTAAATGAATTTAAGTTCCTGCTAGTGAATTACATTATTAAGTGGTAGGGTATTTAAAGACAAGATAATTTGAAATTAGAATAAATTGTCTAAATAATAGATTCCCAAAATCTGTAAGTAAAACTGAAACACCTAATGTAATAAATCATGTTGTACAACACACACACCTACATGCTCACTTACACGTATACCTACATATATGTGGACGTACATATTTTTACCCCGCCATATATATATATATATATATATATATATATATATATATATATATATATGGTTCTGTCTATTAATTTTTAAAAATGCATTGATAGACAGAACTTGTCGATATTAATTAACTAAACATGTTTGAAGAAACTTCTGCTGCTGAAATATACTTTATATATAAATATAAACATACACACACACACACAGACACACAAACACACACACACACATATATATATATGTCTGTGTGTGTATTATGAAATAGACGAAGTCCGACAATTATTTTAAAGACATTTTCTTTGTTTTTACTTTCTTTTTATAGATACAAATATTTAAGTAAATGCTCTGATTATAATAAACAGTCTGAATAACATTTACCGACCTGAATGTCCGAGAAATTTTCATAGAAAAGATTCGTCTTCCAACAGGAATCAAACCTGTATCCTATACAAAACCGTCATATAGCCTGACGTGCCTTAACCGATTGAGCCATAGAGGATCGTTTGGTTAGCAAGGTCGATTTCACTGCTTTTTAAACTACCATCTTCCATGAATCTCTCACGTACATTCATACCTGCTTAAAGCGTATCTAAATATAAACAGATGACATCATACATTATGAAATGGACGAAGTCCGGAAATTTTTTTTAAGAAATCAAATATATGACGGTTCCGTATAGCATTCAGGTTCGATTTCAGGCACCTCAAATACTGATATGAGATCTTGCTGCCTTCTTCATTTTATCGTCATACCCAGAACGGCAGGAATTAAGTAAAAAATAACGATGGACATTGCATTTAAATTATGGAAGATCAAAGTTTACTGGAAAGCAAGACGCTGGAAGTAAGTTTCAAGAGCGAGAAGTGAGAAAAAATGCTGTTAGTATAGAAGTTAAGGTTGCATCTAACCATTTCAAATGAGACATGGCAGCCTCTCTTGGATTGAGCTTAAATTTATAAAGTCTACGTACCATAGAGGCAAGTTTATAAAGACAATTACGATGAGAAAATTCATTAAAAAATGGCGCAGTGTGTCTACATTTAAACGTGACTGAAACCAAAATGCCAGTTCAGGACCAATAACAATACAGATTCTTCGTTTGATTTTATCAAGGAACTCTAAATAGGCATGGATAAACTTGTAGATATGTATCATAGAGTCACCCTCTTGGAGGTTAACATCAGCCATGTTCATAGAAGGTGAAAAATCTTCGTTCCGATGAATAGAGGAGTTTCGTTTTGGTGACGTTAAAATTAACTCGCATTGTGTGTCCGTTTGTGTATGTGTATATATAAAGAAAATTAGGCAAGCTATTGTTAAAGCGACAAATAACAACGAATGCACTTCTAAACCTGTAAAATGAAAAACCATGAATAGACAAAAGAAAAGAACAAACGAAAGACCAAAAATCAAAGATAAAAGCCAAAAGTAAAGAAAATAACAGACCTCTATCTATACAAAGCCATAGATGCTCATTGCCTCTAGAAATTAGACCGATACAGAGCAAGTGCCGATTAGTTTACTAGTCAGTCTATCTATCTATCTAGCTAGCACGTTATGTATGTCATTTTGCTCATGTATGTCTGTCTATCTATCTATCTATCTATCTATCTATTTGTTATTCCGCTTCTATCTATCTATCTATCTATCTATCTATCTATCTATCTCTTTCCTTATCTATCTACCTGCTATTCTGCTCATTTCTTTTTTCTATCTATCTATCTATCTATCTATCTATCTATCTATCTATCTCTGTGAATGTGTTACTGATAATTCGATAATGTTGTTCTTCAGAATTTGGATAGAATTTTGAATCATGAACTTTTCTCTACACATGTCTCACTTTTTCCTATTCTCTCTTTAACTTACACACACACGAGTATGCATATCTGTATATAATTAAGAGATGTAAAAAAAAAGACATAAATTATTTTTCACTTATCTTTACATATGTAAATATGGAAAATATCACTTGAGCAAACACTTAATGAACAATATTGCAATGGATTTGATTGAAGCCAAAAATGTAAAAAAAAAAGAAGAAATTATAAAGATGTAAATGATGAGAGCAAGCGAGACGATTTCGTAAACATTTTCCTTGAAAGCTTTGCATCAATTTTGTTGCGTCATACTTAATTCACGCCGTTCTGTTTGAAAGAACACAGAAAAGAAATTACGGCCAAATGAATTCACTGTTTGCTATATTAACGGTACATTAAATCAAAATGCATTTCAATGTGCCAAATGTGTTCTTTAAATACATTTTAATTCATATCAATCTTTTCTGGTCTCATTCTCTTTCTTTCCTTAACAGCCACACACACAAGTACACACATATGCACACCCACACACAGACACACAACCATACGCACACACACATATATAAGCAAACGCACACGCCCATCTATATATATATATATATATATATATATATATATATATATATATATATATAAACACACACACACACACACACACACACACACACATATATATATATATATATATATATATATATATATATATATATATATATATATATATATACTCATTCGATGCTATTGTCGAGTAACATGTATAAAATTGCATGTATAAGAAACAATATCAATTTTAAATATGCATTAAACTGAACTGAGTGGGGGTTCCAGCATAACTGAGATTACTCATCGGTGACAGTAGAGGCAGTTCGAATCTAAGTAAATGTCAGTTTATCGAATGCTGATTTTCTTGGTAGTTTGGTCAAGCCATTGGCATTTTCCTTATATTTTTTTTCTTTTTTCGTAAGTAATTTTCTACATTGCTTAAAGCTGTTGATTACAAATATATTTATTGATATTCTTTTATTACTCTCAACAACTTTGTGGAATACAGATATTTCAGTCATTTCTACTTTAACATGTGGTATATATAAATATTAAAGAAAAGAAAGCTATTCAATTTCCTTACACTCTTGAACGAATCACTTGTATTCTCGTACAAAATCAAGAGAAACAATGCAAAAAAGTCTACGTTGCCTTTTGGTTGCCATATATATATATATATATATATATATATATATATATATATATATATATATTTATAAAGTATACGGAAACAAGAAAAACTCTTTAAAAAGTATGGAAGACTACTTTGCCCGTCATTTGTCATATACTTTTTACAAACTTTGTGGTCATGATATGAATATTCTGTCAATGTTAAACGGGAAACTTCTCAGTTAACTAACTGCTACACACGTCAAACGTTGAAGACGGTTTAGCCATAAATGTATACGAATGACAAATGTAACCTCGTCTATATGCAAACACAACGCCATCTACGTTAATCTGTTCTTTTTTGGTGCGAGGAACCTGTCCACAAAGTTTGTAAAAATATTTTTATATACCCTGTACATAATGAATAGTAAAACAAGACAAACTCTATAAAAATTATCGACTTCGTCCCTTGAACGTCATATATAAAATGATTATGACAATAAGAGAAACTATATTAAAAACATCAAAGTCTACCTTGTTCGTCTTACAATAGATAAATAATGATTATGAAAACTAGAAAAACTACATGAAAATTAACAACACATTCTTTGTCCGTTATGTAATTTATATATGTAATACGAATAGAGTTTATGTTTAATTGTCATGAAGTAACTTCATATCAGGATTGTAATTATTTGGTGAAATGAGTTTGATCCATATTGGGTAATTTATGCAATGTACTAAACCAAACAATAATTATTAAAATCTCTAAATTATGTGTAATGCTCGTTTTTGAACTCGGTTGAGGTCTTTTCTATTTGGGTCTTTTCATATTTCTTTTTACATTGATGTTCACAATGGCCTCTCGAGGTAGTGAACTACAGAGTAAGAGCCAGATATTTGGGGAAGATAATCGTCAACCATAGACATGAACAGGCTAAATGATCGGGGAAGCAACATCTTGGGAGTCAGTTCCAAAAGGCTGCGATTCTTGGGAAGAATTTGCTTGAGTGGAATTTACATGTCAACCAATGGAATACGAAATGAATGAGAGTGAATCGCTACAATGCGTGGGATTTACCCGTGAAAGTTAGGAACTAAAGAGATTAGTTCATTTGAAAACTCTTCATGGAAATAGCGATAGAACAATGTGAGGCCTGCGATGTCTAGTCTCTGAGAAAAGGGTTGAAGAGTGGATAATAACTCAAAGACAGGGAGATGATTTTGAACTCTATTTAGATTGGAAAGGAAAGACTGGGTAGCACCAATCCATAAACAGCAGTAGGAATCCATTTTCAGTCAGATCTCATATATCGTTGCACAGAACATGAATTTCGACATTTCGTCCTTTTAATTCACATATATTACACGTAAGACTGAAAGTCTGAACTTCTTTTTTACAAGGTCATTTTTTATAGGAGAAACAGCTAACGAAATTAGGGCAAACAAATAAAGGATTTGTTTTACAATTGTCAAATCTTTAAGGAATATGAGAGTCAATTTGAGGAAGGATTGAGAGAACAACGTTCGAAGCATTTTACCTATAAACAATGTCTTGATACGAATAAGGAGAAATTAAGTGCGAATCTTTTTCTCCTTTGACCATGGAAAGTGTAAAGTAATCAGATGCAGTAGATACATTAATTGCGCATTACAAGTCTGCTTCTTATCTTAAACCGATAATATACATTGGACACATAACAACAACCTTCTTCCGACAAATCACTTAAAGGATATTAGTGCTATAAAATCTTGGGGCACACAAACAATTTCCTGATGGCAATTCTGGTTCACAAAACTAGCATTCTAAAAAGATGTAAGTGTCGGCGACGAGTACAGATTATAGAATCCCTTTATATAAACAAGCCAAGGCAAACATCATCATCACAACAATATCACCAATGTGTTGGAAGTTTTCAATGAAGACACGCCAATATAATATCATGGGTGCATCATCTCGCTTAGCTTAAGATTACTTCTACTACTACATCTATACAATGCACTCTGGAAGACAAATCTTGAACGGATCCCTTCAATATGACTAATGATTTGGCAGACAGTGATCGATACCATAATAATTACAATCAGGATACTTTATTCCTTCCAAAATGAAAACTATAAGCACATTAGAAAAAAACTTACAGTATCTAGATTTTTCGATCTGTTGTCCTCATCTTCGTTGTCATATTCACAAAGTTTCGGCTGTTATACGCCCCGGCCTACTTCAGATGATTGAAATTTTGATCTAAACCCTTTACTTCGTCCACCGGGGTAGACTGATCTAGTTCCACCTGCCCGGCCTGGATGGCTCAGTATCAGTTATCTCACTTTAACTCTAATTTCCCAGTTTTAACTTCACATTTGCTGTAGCCAGGTATTGAACTATTTGTGCCAAGTCACTACATTCAACCAACGCTTTTACCCCCTTGGTTAAGTATCCCTGTTGACACATGGCCCCTTTGGATAAAAGAGTATCCGGAAGAGGCATGGAATCATGGCTATAAACAACCAAAGGAAAAAACAAAACGAAATCAACTTATCGAAGGTCCTAAACCCTTTAACATTCGTGGTATTCCTACCAACTTATGCAGTGTGAAATCGTTCCTCTTCGAAAAGTCTCCGGGCATCCTAACTCTCTGCAAAACTAATCTTAACTCTTCAATTCTCTCCTCTGATTTCTCGATTCCTGGTTAGCTTCCTCTTCTTATTCCATATGCATCACCTGGGAGTTTATGTTCGTAAATGTCTCCCGCTGGCTACAGAACTCTCTCTTGAATCTCTACTTAACTTGGTCAGCTATCTCGTCTTCTCTTCCTCTCAAGACTGTTGCGTACCAGATAGCATTTCCGCCAGTATAGACAATGCTATCTCCCAACAACCGTTTGCAAACATATTCGGTGACTTTATTGCCACTATACCAGGAGACTTCACTCACACTGACATCACTGGCATCGAAACTCTTAACTTTTCAATCATTCAATTCTCTTACGCAAATGTTTGACGTTGCTACGCGTGTCCTCAGCAACCCCTGATGGTCACGCTTCTTTATATTTTTACCTCTATCACTGACTTTTGTCGTAGTAAGCAGCTCTGCCTTCTTGGCAACTCTGATCGTGTGGTAGAGTCTGTAAATATCTCCTTCTGCTCCCTCACCAGCCAACAGAATATCTCTCTGTTATCATCCAGCGGATTGGCATACGTTCTGTGATTTCCTTAGTGACGTCACTTGGAATGAAGGTTTTAATCATCCTGTTCCTGTAAATGGGCATTTGAGGTCTCCCCCGGGGTGAAAGCCGACATCAATATTTTCATTCCAGCATAGAAAATACCAAGTTCAACCGCTTTCGTCTCCTTGGATTTTACCTGCACGCTCAGCCGCTATAGCCCACAGGAATCAATTCTTCTGGCTGTACCAGGGCGACACGTCTGATTGTAACAGATGTCTCTTTGTCTCTGCCCGTAATGTGCGCAAGCGCGTTCTCAAAGTAGAAAAAATTACTGTTTGCTGATAGCATGAAACAAAATATAACCTCTCATAATTTCCGTTCTACAGGCTATTGGCAGCTCTGCTGAAAGACATCTCTACAATCACATCTCTATTCAATCATTTCGAAGTCCTGAAATCTACAGTGGATAAAGGTTAATATCTTGTTCGGAAATTCTCTTCTAACTCAACACGACTCATTTGGAGTATCCATAAGTGATTTCTCCCCTAGAACAGGGGCTCTACTGCGTGATACGCACATTAGGTGTCTCGGACATCATTTCTAAATTAGACTTTC